TGAGTGTGTGTGTCTGTGAGAGTGAGTGTGTGTGTGCGTGCGTGCGTGCGTGTGCGCGCGCGCGTGTGTGTATGTGTATGTGTGTGTGTGTGTGTATTGTGTGTGTGTGTGTGTGTGTGTGTTCGCTCCATTACGCCCACGCTACGCCATGCTACGTCATGCTACGCCACGCTACGTCACGCTACGCCACGTTACGTCACGCTACGTCATGCTACGCCACGCTACGTCACGCTACGCCACGCTACGTCACGCTACGCCACGCTACGCCACGCTACATCATGCTACGCCACGCTACGCCACGCTACGCCAAGCTACGTCACGCTAAGTCATGCTACGCCACGCCACGCTACGTCACGCTAAGTCACGCTACGTCACGCTACGTCACGCTACGCCACGCTACGCCACGCTACGCCACGCTACGCCACGCTACATCATGCTACGCCACGCTACGTCACGCTACGCCAAGCTACGCCACGCTACATCATGCTACGCCACGCTACGCCACGCTACGCCACGCTACATCATGCTAAGTCACGCTACGCCACGCTACATTATACGCCTATTACGTCGAATTTGCAGCGTGCCTCGCTCTCCGGCATTTTCGTCCGCGACGCGCGTCAGTTTCGTCATTTTTCTTCGCGGGTACGACCTGTGACCTATGACCTGTGACGTGTGACGTGTGACCTGTGACCTTGTGAGTTATCTAACTGCCCGATTTTCCCTGCTGTTTAGAACGCAGTGCGCACGCAGTATCAAGACGCGCGCATTGGCATGATGAATATCTGTCAGATATCTTCGCGTTCTGACGACCCAATTTGTGATTATTCTTTGTGTAGATTAACGTCAGAACTGGCGCAAAGCAACAACATGGGATTAAAATATGAAAAATATTCATTTTAATTACACAGATGCCTTACTCCTGTAAGTTCGAAAAACGAGCAGACAACATATTTCCAAACAAATATAGGTACTCATCCCTTCAAACAACAGTCAGAATACACAAAGTAAACTTAGCCTCAACAAGTACACGGAAACACGGTGGCGCTACTTATGGTTCCAACATCAAACAACGGGGCGTTGAACGGGACTAGACTAACTACAAGCATGTTTTCGCCACATCGACGGCTGTGAGGACGTGCACTTTATTATTTAGGATGCTAGTTGGTGCATTTTCGCAGCATTGCCCTCTTTAATCTTGCCGCGCAGGGGCGTGACTGTTACTGGTTGATAATGCGCGAGTAAACACTGCGAGCATTTTGATTGGTTATTAGAAATTTGCGACTGCATTTTGCTGCTTTTAACCATAGCTGAATAATATAAGACTTCTGCGCCGCTGTCTTAGCCACAAAATGATCTCGCTGTTGTTGTGAGGCTGCCCGGTGTAGCGCGAAATTTCTGATTTGCGAAATATCTGAGATAGGATGCCTATGCGCATGCGTACGCGTATGCGTCCCGACCCGACTAATCACAGCTCGTCTTTGTGTGCGAAATTTCTGACCTGCGAAATATATGATATAGGATGCGTATGCGCATGCGCAATTCGCATATATGCTCAAATATGGCGATTTCCACTTCAGCTAAGACACCAGCTGGTGGAGAAAGAGGAGGGGGAGAAGGGAGAAGCTGGTGGAGAAGGAGGAAGGGGAGAAGCTGGTGGCGAATGAGGAAGGGGAGAAGAGAGAAGCTGGTGGAGAAGGAGGGGGAGAAGCTGGTGGAGAAGGAGGGGGAGAAGCTGGTGGAGAATGAGGAAGGGGAGAAGGAACAAGCTGGTGGAGAAGGAGGAAGGGGAGAAGGAAGAAGGTGGCGGAGAAGGAGGAATTAGGGGAGAAAGGAGAAGCTGGTGGAGAAGGCAGAGTAGGAGAAGCTGGTGGAGAAGCAGGAAGGGGGAAGGGAGAAGGTGGTGGAGAAGGAGGAGGGTGGAAGCTGGTGGAGAAGAAGGATGGGGAGAAGCTGGTGGAGAAGGAGGAAGGGGCAAAGGAGGAGGAGAAGGGAGCTGGTGGAGGAGGAGGGGGAGAAGGGAGAAGCTGGTGGAGGATGAGGGGAAGAAGCTGGTGGAGAAGGAGGAAGGGGAGAAGGGAGAAGCTGGTTGAGGAGGAAGGGGAGAAGGGAGAAGGTGGTAGAGGAGGGGGAGAAGCTGGTGGAGAAGGAGGAGGGGGATAAGCTGGTGGAGAAGGAGGAAGGGGAGAAGGAANCGTTGCTTTCTTCTCTCCTGCGCTGAGCTTGAATGAACCAGAGGCACCCTTGCCTTTTGTCTGTATCAGCTTACCATTGGCCGCACTAGACTTCAAGTAGCGACGGATGAAGGGAGACATCTTCTCCACGTCCACCTTGTAGTGACTAGCGATGTACTTCTTGATGGCTTGCAGGGAGGATCCGCCCCTCTCTGCTAGATTCTTGATGGCCGCATTCACCATCTCGGCCGTAGGCGGATGTTGTGCCGGCGCTTTCGGTTTCTTCGCTGCCGGCGCCTTGGTCTTCTTCTTCGGTGAAGCGGGTGCCGGGGCGGCTACTGCTGCAGCATCTCCCATACTGGATAGAGTTAGGAACAATTCAACACAACTTAAAATGCTTACTGCACGATAGACGCAAACTAGAATTGTCAGTCAAAATAGCCGCCGCTGCCGAGCTATATAGCGAAAGCGCAGACGTGATGGAGAGCACCCATAATCTACGGGACCGCGCAAGCGAGACCGGTGCCATTTACGGCAAAGTTGTCTTTCCATTTTTACTTCAGACCCTTATTTCGCTAATAATCGCAAACATATTCGACCCGTAAACGGTCACCAAGCTTTCGCACCGAACTGATCTTTCGGGAGAAACGTGTGCGAAGATTTCAGGACGTGTGGTTGCAAAGTTATTAGCTCTCAAACTCAATATTCGATGTAATTATTTGCAACTTTTGCATTTAACAACGGATTTTAATTCCCCACTTTAATATTAATAATAATATGTAGTGCCATCGATTAGCCTGTTTAATTATCTTTCTGATGATGTGTGATACGCCTCATATGACTAAAAGTTACATTTGTACTGACTCCTGAGGGCAAAACCTAAAACATTTTAGCACAACTATTGACATGCTATAAAACATATTCTTGCAATCCTTCAAATTATCTGCTCATTATAAGATGATTTATTAACTGTAAGTGATGCCAAACAGAACCTCATTCAATATACTACCATATGCATTTCTATGGTCTATGTATAATAAAATTATTGCATGGTATCGTGAAGATAAATGCTTACACGCATACCTATTGAAACTGGCCGAGAAAAGCGCCGTACGCCATATTGCCCGTAGACGTTTATCAAGGCCGTACGCAGGAAATTTTATGTAAGGGGGCAAAGGTACTTCCAATGCCCCCTGTGCCCTAACGTTTCGCAAATTTCACATTTCTTTATTTAAAGTGTAATATTTCTTTGATGATTTAAGATAACCTTTTGTCACATTTCTATTTTATTTCTAAAAGTGTACAGGATTTGTCCCATTAAAAGGCATACTCTGAAAATCTCTAGGGGGGCAACTGCCCCTGCTGCCCCCCTGCTGCGTACGGCCCTGCGTTTATGCTTATTTATACAGTCAGGAGCGAACATGAACTTTATACAACGTTTACTATCAGTAGCATATAAACCCCCGTATATTGTGTATCTTGGTGGGTTTGATAATCTTGACAGTATGCCGAGTGAATAAAACAGTTACACGAAAGTTATGTTATTATTCGTATCAAGAGCGTATAAAGAAGGGTTGTTGAAGAAGCGCTCTTGTTCGTATGGATGTATAATGGGTTTATTCCCGGTTGGCCTACTCCCATTTCGCCTACGGCAAAATTCCCATTTCGCCTACAGCAAAATTCCCAGTTGGTCTACACCCATTTCGCCTACTCCCAATTCGTCTACGATCGGTTTGTTCACTAAATAATCATTTATAAATAAGAAAATATGGTTTTGATGGTCATACATACATACATATGATACTACAGGGACCAGAAGAAAAATAGGTACAAATAATTAATACAAATAGAACACAACTTGACTAAAATAGTTCTGAGAGTAGACGAAATGGGAGTAGGCGAAATGGGAATATTGCCGATTCTGAGAGTAGACGAAATTGGAGTCGGCGAAATGGGACGTAGGCGAAATGGGTGTAGGCGAAATGGGAGTAGGCCAACTGGGATGTTACCGTATAATCAGGAGTCTATCAATATATCATATATTGATAGACTCCTGGTATAATGTATACTGTAATAGGTACATATAAATATACCGGGAACCCATAGAATGCCATAGCTATTGTAGAGAAGTGATATGTTTATAATATTAAGAGTACATAATAGCAGGAGTAGATAATAGGGGTTCCCTATTATCTACTCCTGATAATAGAGATCTCTATTATGTACTCTTGATAATATCAGGAGTTACTAAAGACAAATTTGTCTTTATTAACTCCTGATAATATCCATACACTGATTATAAAGTTATTATGCTACAGTATGTGTATATGCACGATGCGGGCATCCACACACATATACATGCGTGCACGGAGCTATAGGTGATCGGGAACCAATCTATAGTCCTACGGGTCGTTGGTACTACGGGTCGTTGGTCCTACAGGTCGTTGGTCCTACGGTTATTAGTAAGAGGGGTACAGTGAATGCCCAATTCTTTTTAAATCACTTTTTACCCCTTTTTTTAATTTAAATTTTTAATTGTATTTGTTTAAATTTTTCTTTTTCAATTTTTTCAATTTTTTTATTATGTATGTGGCTTTTCACTATGATTGAAGTATGCACCAGACAGGAGTGGAGGAGGAGGAAGAAAATAATTCTTAAACTATTTCAGTGTCATTCACCCTCGAGACCTTATCACAAAATTTCATCACACACGACAAAATTTCCTTATGTTTTTGGTCTAGTTTCATTCACCTCAAAATAATTTCATTCACCCTTGGGTGAACCATACACCAGTTTAAGAAGTACTGTGGTACACTACACAGGCAGTCCAGCTGCTGTGTAAATAGGCGTACACTGC